AAACCTTCCAGGAAAACATCTGAACACGTTTCAAGAAAGTGGCAGAGGTCCAAATCAAATGGATGCAATGGAAAAAACTGCAGCAATCGCAGTTCAAAATGGCCATCAAATTCTTTGAGAAGTTTGAGTGTATGGCTGTAGAAGCTGAGCACTTCTATAATGATGAGAAAATGGAGGAAGTCGTCGCCCTTGCAATATGACCTAATGTCAAGCAGATCATTATGGCCAGAGATAATATGCAGCCTACCACCTACTGGGAGTGGAGGCACAGAGTCCTACAGATGGATGAGAACTATCAAGTTCATGTTGCACAAGGTGGGAGGTATCTCAGCAGTACTGCTGGCATCAAGCCTGGAGCAGTGGGGGGCTCCTTGAATAGTTCAAGAAGCAGAAGGGATGCCACCGGATTCACCTATGGCAGTGAAGGCAAACCTATGGACATTGATCGTCTCAGAAGAGAAAAGCGATGTTTCCAGTATGGACACACTGGACACCAGGGGAGAGACAACAAGTGCTCACCCGACAAGTCAAAGTGGCTGAAATTCCCAAAGAAAAAGCCATCAACTTTTGCAACCCATCTCAGAGCCATCCTAGCAGAAATAGAGGAAGAAAACCTCACTAGCTCGACAGAAGTTGAGGAGATAAAAGAGATGCTAGCATAGGACTTAGCGATTCTACTTCGTTGGCTGGGGTTTATCATGGTGCACCTGATGACACAAATATTCATGCTTATGCTGTATTTGTAGATACTTGTAACAATATATTGTATTTATCTTGTACCATGAAGGATTTGTGAAATGAAAATAGTGTAGCAGGGGATTACCACTACCCATTGGGCAATGAACCCTGAGGGTCAGGCATGAAAGGGCTAGACCCAACAAGCAGCTCAAGGCCATACTAGTGTGAGACGGATCTTGATCAGTCAATTGAGGATCCAGAAGCAACTCTCAATTGTTCCATCAAGAACCCCAATTGGGTTCTTGATCAATGGATCAAGAGTCTAGGTACGACTAGGAATGAAGCCCAGGATCAGCAGGGCTCTTCACACCTGCTGCCAACCCACTTAAAAGTGGGTGGAGAACCCTCAAATTTGCCAACCAGAGGGGTAGAAGGGATTTTCCCCACCCAGCAAAAGGCAATGAACTCTACCAGCCAAGTCCTAGTGCCGGTGGTACTGAACAAGCAAGCCTCTGCAAATACCTCTTTGGGATGCATGCACCCCACTAGGAGTAATTCCAGTTTGACAGGAACCCAGACATGGAACTCTGGGAGTGAGGACATGCTGCCTGGCAGCAGCGCTCACGACATGGGAGGTCAAGATGATGACATCATAGTCAAACTCCTGGGTAAGCTGCATCTAGTGGTAGGAGCCCCAGATGATGGTGAACTGGCATCCCCTCTGTGCATCAAGATTCCCTGATGACAGACTGCTTCAGTGACAGTGAGGCTGAGGAATCCAGGCAAGTCTAGGGACAAGGCTGAAGGCTGGCAGAGCCTAGCAGACCCAATGACAGACTGTTCTAAAGCCAAGGGTGACAACCCAGCACCATACGTGGGACCAAGTGGAAAGGATATCTGAGGAACAGCCACCTCTATCACAGAGGACATCAGCTGAAAAAGCTCAATTGCCCACAAGGATCAAGCGGGCTAAACAGGGGAGAGAGGCTCCTCTTCTCAGGTACATGCACACTTAGAAGAAGTCACTGACAAAAGCGACGATTCTAGTTATTTAAAGAGTTTATGGAACTCTTCAAAATCCGGTGAAGTCCTAACTAATCCAAGTGGGTGTCTGCACCGAGGTGAAAGGGAACTGACTGGTTGCATGGTTATAGAAGCAGGGTCTTTGCAGCCAGCCTTGGCTGGATGGTTGAAGACATGTTAGGCAATGAGGATGAAGTCAAAGCAACAATGGAGATGGTGGTGGTTCTAGTTTAAGAGGTGAAAAGTCATGTGACCAACCTGAAAAAATTCCATGTGGTCACACTCGGCCATCAGGATCTGCATCCTTGAGGGAAAGAATGCTAAGAGGGGGATACTGTAACAAGCATGCCGATGGAAATCCAACTTCCACTCAACCCAACAAACTACAGCCCAGAAACCTACAGATTCCAATTCCCAGTTTCTATTTCATATTCCATTTCACATTCCTTTTTATATTTCACTTCTCCATTACAATTTATCAATAGCCCAACATTGGTAGCAAATATGTCATCAGATCCCATTGGCTACCGACCAGTAGAATACATCCTCCAACAACTCTAGAATGTAGACCACTCCGAGTAGGAACTAGATCAGACTCCTAACTAGTATATAAGCCTTAGAATTACACTGTGGATACTCAGTTTGAATATCAACTTAGTTTAGCCAATCTCTCTCTGACTCTTGGTCAAGCCCTCGTTCTCCAGTCCATGGAACCCCAATCCATTGGACTTATCTCTTACCTCGTCTCTGTCACTCTGCAGACTTCCATCCATATTCATCTTAGGGCTTCAGCTCAGGGGTGACATTGCTAATAGCTTCGCCTACGCCTGACACATTCCGCAGCTTTCTGCTATGTGCATTCTTCACTGCATTCCTATTGGCACGATCCTAACAACCTCCCACATTAGCTCAACATCTAAGGCCTGCAAGACATCATGTTCTAAGGCAACATATATTAGATTCAACAGATGCTATCCATACCTTCCAAGAATGGGGATTACAGCATATCTGAATGGCAGCTCACCCTTTTGCAGACTGTAATCTGGCCTGAAGTTCAGAATTCCTTGACACAGCATACCTTATCACCACCACTGAAGGCGAGACCTTATTAAAGTGGTGGAGGTGTATGGGTATTAGCTGTGATGATGTCAGGGGTTTATTGCTTTATGCTCTGGAAAGGGGAGTACCTATCCAGCTAGCCATACCTTGTTCCATGACTGCTCGATTCCATGACAGTCACCCTCACATGGTTAGTGAGAATGCTAAGGATTTGTGAAAGATGTACTATACAGCTCCACAGGCAGCATTGTCTCAGCCAGTGGCATCCAAGGGTCTATCTTTGACATCAGAATAGAAGGCAGGTCTAACACAGTTGTGGCAACAACCACATACTAGCACTTTCATTAGCATAGGAGGATTTATCAGCTACATTGCTCAGAGATTCACCCCCCCCATGACTTCAGCACAAATATATGCAAGACCCATCACCTCAAGTTACTGTCCTTCATGCCAGGGAAAACAATGTCCAGTGTAATGATGGAGTCAACCTGGAATGGGGATGACTGACATATGCTGATCAAGCTTGGTTCTATGGCTCCTACAGTTTCAATGGACCTAAGTCTGAGGCTAGCCTATTCTCTGATGATATTGTTGATCATCACAGCAAGCATTGGGCTCCAGGACACTGGAACCCTGCGACATATCAAATGTATGACCACCTTGTGAGTGATGTGGAGGATGGCTTTGTGAAGTTGCAGATGAGTGGTATGTGGGACAAGTATTTTGGGGGTGGACAACAGGGGAAGCATGCCTCTGAGTGGGTCTGGGACAGAGAGCTTCATGACAAGGAAGCTCAACTTGCCTGAGCTGCTTTGACTGTTCCTTAGAACTTCTGTCCAGGGTGTTCCCTCTTCAATGAGGAACTTCCAGAAAGGTTGTTTGAAGTCCTTGGAGAAGGGGGGGAGGCTTGTAACAGGTGTGCAACATCAGGAAACTAAAACAAGTATCAATACCCATGTTTCTTTATTTTTCTGGACAATGCCTTCAAATAGCTAACATTTACACTTCTCTGAAGGACTTCATTTAGTTATATAATCTTGATTATGCATCAGCTACTATACACATAAGTAGCATGATACTTGTACCATATCTAGAAAATAGTGTCACAAATCAGATCATCTTTTTTACTCTCACAACACATAGCTCAATCTTCAAGTAAAAAGACTGAGAATAGTATTTGGGTGATAAAGTCCACCATCTTGTACCTTCACTAGAGTCTGCACACTCTACTAAGAGCCTACCCACTCTAGCTTCAGTGACTGCCATCACATCCAGTCTCAGTCATTGTTTTGCCAGTTTCTCATTTCTCAACTACAGTCTTCATTTATTACTGCCATGATATTTGTTATCTTGCCAACAGTATTTCTCTTTGATGGTATTTCCATTAATTCCACCAACATCACTCACAGCATTTACTAGTTAATTGCCACCACTTCATTCACAGCTTGCCAGTATTTTCAGTTATACCGCATTCCATTCCTTCCCATATATCAAGACCCTTCCTGGCTTACAGCCAATGCTTTCTAGTACTCATTCATTAAGAGTACTACTTCACTGACTGAAAAGTCACAGTGTATACTTGTATTCTTGAGGAATTTATCGCACAGAGGTGCACTGAAACACTCACACAACAACTAAAGCCTTTATTGCTACTACATGTCATTTGCCATGAACCCATCTAGAGTTTTGGTTTTGCTGTTACCACAGAAGTATAAGCTCATCATTGCCTTCTTAAGTTTCAAGTCTCTCTCCCTCTTCCTCCCCTGCTTAGCCAACTCTGCAGCCTCCAACTGAGCCTTTTTCTGTTGCTACTGCTTATATTTGTCCCAGTACTCCACTAACAAATTCACTGAAGTCAACTTTGTTTTTGCAACTTGTCCTTAGACCTATCTACCTACCCAGTGTATCAGGCCAACATCCTGGCACCCCTTTGATCATTAAACTAAAAATCATAGCATACAACAGTATGCCAGGAATTGTAAGGGAAATTTTTGCATTTTGTTGAAGAAAGCTGCAGATATCTCTGGCCAGACATAGGTTCTGGAGAAGAATGCATGCTTAAGAAGATAGGAGAAAGATTGATTGATTAATTGCCAGCTGACTAGCTACTTATATACTAGAATATCAGTGATGACAGATAAGAAAGTGTCATGTAAAAGAATGTCATATCTTACTTATTAGTCTATGGATCATATGAATTGGCCTGAAGTCATATTGAGTAGATATATAAATTTAATACATTATAGTTGATCCTTATAGTTTGCTAATGATATAAGTAATTCTGGCTCTTCTGCCTCTTTCCATCGCCCTTGATTCCGATATGTTGGTGCTAAATTACTCATAGCTAGCAATGTCATTGGATGATCTTTTCCTGAAACAAGCTTTCTTGCTGATAACACCTGTAATTCTAGCTCTTCTGCCTCTTTCCATTGCCCTTGATTCTGATATGTTGATGCTAAATTACTCATTGCTAGTAATGTTATTGGATGATCTTCTTCTAAATCATTTTTATACATTTCTAATAAAACACTCTATAAACTTTGAGCTTTTTTCCATTCACCATTATGGAAAAATGCTTCTGCAAACTGTTTAATTATATAAATATTTTTATCAAGTATGTTATTTATTAAATGTAAACTTAGAGTTTGAAGAAAAATATAATCTTCTTTATTCCATTTTTTTGGTACTGATTTTGCCATTATAGTTATTGCAATATTAAAAGCACTTTCTTTTTTCACCTTCAATCTATCAAAACACTATTTGTGTACTAAAGAATGCATAAAATATATAGGAATCATATCTTTTTCTATCTATTTTATAAGTGAATAAGTTAATAAAATTTGAATCTCTCTTCGAAATATATTAAAATTTTACTCATTACTTTTATTAACCTTCAATAATTTCTTATAGATATTATCTATAATATAATCATTAGAACAATCAGAACAATTATCTGCTGAAGCAGCACGACTAAATATTTCTTTAAATATATTTTTATTATAAAAAAATGCAAATAATTCTAATATTTTTAATGCATATTGTGCATCAGTTGCTAATGAGTCATTTTTTTGTACATGATATTGTAGTGCTTTTAATGATAAATTCCATGCTTCATATATATTTTCTTTTTTTTTCAGAAATGCTTGTTTCTGTTAATCCCTCTTTATGATTTTCATCAAAAAACTTGAGATAATCATAAATTGTATAATGGCCACATTGAATAGATGATTCAGCAAGATCAATTGCTAATGGTATGTAACTAAGCTTAATTACTATATCTTTAGCATATCTTTTAATTTTATCATTTACTTCTTTAAGACCACTAGCATTACAAAACAATTCTATAGCTGTTTTAGAGTCCATTTCAGCTACAGCTATTTCAGCATTTTCTGTGATACAACTCAAATTAGGATTATGATTTGTAATCAAAATATTTCCCTTTTGTCCAGAAGGGAAATACTTTTGCAACAAACTAATATTATGATGATCTGCATTATCATATATCAAAAGCCATTCTTCATGAAATTCAGAAATCCAATCAAGTGTTGAACTTTCATTATTTATCTGAAAGTTTGATGATTTTTGTAGTATATTGATATATTTGGCTTGAATATTCTTTAGACTTTGAATAATTGTGCTTTCTGATGATGCATCAATCCAAAATATAATAAAGAAACTAATAAAGTTCAAATATTTATATGAGTTTATTGAAAAAGTATTTTAAACTGACTTACTATTTTGATTCAATCATATTTTCAGCAAACTTTAAGACAATCTGACTTTTACCAATTCCTCCCATTCCATAAAGTAGAAAAAGATGTCTTTTCTGTGGTTTTTCATGAGGAGCAAAATATTTTTCAAGCTTAGAAAGATATTGCTAACATCCTGTAAATAAAGGTAGCATAGAACCTGGCAAAAAAACCATAAAGTTCTTTGGAACTAAGCTTATATATCCAGCTATAATTATATCAGCTTTTAGATATTATATCAAATCTTAGAATAAATGAGATGTACCAAATGTTCCTAATGTGTAAGGTCTGTTCAAGCTAGAGCTAGAACAAAGACATCTCACAACTTTTTCAATCATTTCATCAACATCAGAACCTCTTAAATAGCTGCCTGTATGAGCTACAACATCTGCTGCTCTTTGCCAATCATCTACTTCCAATATTCCAGCTCCATGTGTGACATTAAATCGAAAGTATGTTCCTGGATTACTATTGTACTGCTTGGCAAGATCAGAAGAGACAGCCTCACAGTCAATAGTAATGCTCATGATGGTATCCATCAGCTCCAGAGGTAGCATCCTCTCCATACAATATGATGACTAAAATCTATAGGGTTCTGGATGACCAGTTCCAATACTGAGAAATACTCCAACAGGACAATCACTACCAAATAGCTGCCTTATATTAGCCACTAACTCTCAAAACTTAGATCAACTAGGGATCGCCACTCGCACTTCGGTGGATGATACAATAGAGGTCAAAGTTCTGGGGAATGAGCAGTGACGAGACAGATAGTCACGAAGAGCGGAGCTTTGAGTTAGGTAGATTAAACCTTAGCTGAAGCTGGGGTTTAGACCAGCTGAGGCTCTACTTAAATACACGTTCGGTAAGCTAATAATAGTACTGTGAGAATGCGTCTGTTGCGATCACATGTGAGTAATCAGGCTGAGTAAAACGATGGAAAAGAAAAAGAAATGAATAAACCGTAACATTACCCCCCCCCTAAGACTCGTTCATCCTGAATGAGTCATCAGATTCCCTGCCATCATAGTCCGAGGAAGAATTCCGAGATTCTGAATAGAATGATGGGATGTCGTTCGCACCATTGTTGTCATCATCTTCATCTTTATCCCAGTCTTCTGTGACTCGTTGTAGGTGGTCGACATCTGATTCATCTGTACTCGGGTAACTTTCTGATTCCTCGCCGAACGAATATCCATCGTCAATGGCGTTAAGTTCTTTGGAATGTGCGGGTGCCATGCATTGCAAAGAGGGGACAGTGATGATATCGGTGACACACGGCGTATCCTGCTCATGGTAGTGGATCGGGAGATCTCAAGATATTTTGTCATCTCTGCCGACTGTTTTTCCTTTGTTGTTAACCGTCCATGAAATCTTTTGGATACGCGCTTCGTAGTCATTTACCAATTCCTCAGCATTGGCCATATCTGAGCGTTTTACCCACGAGTTCTCTTCGATTGGGTACCCTTTCCATTTTACCAAATATTTGGTAATGGTTCGATGGGTCCACCCATGACCTATGGCTCAGTCTCTTTCCCCTATGATCTCTTCGATCTCGTATTCTTCTTCATTATCGATTAGTTCTGGGGGTGGTCTTTCAGGGCGTGGCTGGTTTGGAAATTCAGGAATGTGGTATGGAGTTAATAGCAACTCGTTGAACCGATTGTGGATGCGCCATTTCGTGGGGAGTCTTAGCTCGTACGCTGATGCGCCTTTCTTTGCTACGATTGCAAAAGGTCCTACTCGCCTGTCCCCTAACTTCTTTGTCGGGCGAGGGAGGTTTAGATTGGTGGAGTCTAACCACACCTTGTCGCCGATCTGATATTCTATTGCCTTTCCTTTTCACTTGTCATAAGCCTTTTTCATCGATTCAGCCGCTCATTCGAGCGACTCCCTTGCCTTTTCTTGTACTTCTTGGATCCCTTGGACCAGTTTTGAGGCGGCTGGTACAGCATCTGGGCGTTGGGTAGTTTTGATAACTTGTCCGTCCCGTCCAAAGACTACTTTGTAGGGAGAGAAACCCATGGCCGAGTGTTTTCGATTATTATGAGTGAATGTGGCGAGGGGTAGCCATTCGCTCCAGTCATCTTGGCGGTAGTTGACGAACATTTTAAGGTATTTTTCGATCTCTTGGTTAACTTGTTCAGTCTGTCCGTCCGTTTGAGGATGATACACCGTCGAGGGGTTTCCAGCAACGTGAATGAGGGCATAAAACTCCTTCATGAACTTCGATACGAAAATGGCTCCCCTGTCTGAGATGATCTTTTCTGGCATTACACCGTATGGTACATAGATGTGATCCCGTAGGATCTTAGCGAAGCCAAGGGATGATAGTTCCTCAGTGCAGGCAATTGGAATTATGGTTTTAGAGAATCTGTCGACTAGGACAAGGATGGAGTCGTTCCCTCTCGAGTCGGGGAGCTTGGTGATCATATCAACCGATATATGGGTCCAAGGGCGATCCAGGACTTCATTTGGGTGGAGAGGTGCCCTTTTAGGGTGATGGTCCGCCTTGGTTCGTTGACAAACTTTGCACCCCCTCACGTATGCTTCCACCTCACGATGCATCCGAGGCCACCAGTAGTCTTGTAGGACGAGCTCCTTCATCTTTTCTATTCCAGGGTGTCCTGCAGTTGCATGATCATGTCGCAGGGCTATGATTTCTCCCTGCAACTGCTTGTCCTTAGGGACATAGATGCGTCCATCATACCATAGTAGACCTCTATCTCGGGAGACCCCCTTTTTGTGGTTAAGGGAGTCAGAGATGCCCTGGTCCCACTTGCACGGGTCATAAGTGGTTAACTTGATCCTTTCGTGCAGTTCCTCCGTTGTGGGCATGACTAGGGCCCGAAAGTGAGCGAGCTTTAAGACCGTCACATTTTGGTTGTCGTCCTTTCCTTGATCGTGATCCGCTCGCCTGGACAACAAATCGGCTTTGCAATTTTGAGCTCCGGGTTTGTGGTGTAAGGTAAACTGGTATTCGGCCAGTTCCGTTACCCACCGAGCTTGTCGTCAATTGAGTTTCTGGGGCTTTCGAAAGTATTGGAGGTTGGAATGGTCTGTCCAGATCTTGAAATCTTCTCGAGCGCCCATAAGGTACTGGCGCCATTCTTCCAACGCAATCATGATGGCGAGGAGTTCCTTGTCATAAATTTCATAATTGCGTTCGGTGACCGATAGTGCTTTGGAAAGGAAGGCCACCGGTCGCCACTTCTCCTCCTGCCATTGGGATAATACCGCTCCTATTGCTCCCTCGCTGGAGTCCACCTCCACTCGGAATTTCCCTTCGTCTTGTGGTATGGTCAGAACTACATCCTCACAGAATAGTTCCTTGAGGTTCTCAAATGCCGTCTGTTGGGCCTCCCCCCATTTCCACTCCACCTTCCCCGTGAGGGCAGTAAGAGGCTTGACGTGTTTACTATAATCACGAATGAACCGTCGATAGAAGTTGCAGAAGCCTAAAAATGATTGGAGTTCTTGTTTTTTTGATGGGACGGGCCAGTCCAACAGGCCCGTGATTTTTACTGGATCCATGCAGACCCATCCCTCGCTGATGAGTACGCCCAAGTACTCCATCTCTTCTACTTCAAATTCGCATTTCTCCGCTTTTAGGAATAGTTTGTTTTCATGGAGAATCCAGAGTACTTCACGTACTATGCGCTTGTGGTCCTCTTTGGTTTTGGATGCGATAAGGATGTCGTCGAGGTATACCAATACCTCCCCAGTGGTTATGAGGTCTTTGAAGATATCGTTCATCATCCACTGGAAGGTAGCAGGGGAATTTGTGAGCCCAAAGAACATTACTAGGGGCTCATAGAGGCCGCGATTAGTTCGAAAAGCGGCTTTCCACTCATCCCCCTGCTTTATCCTGACGTTGTTGTACCCCCATCGTACATCCAATTTGGTGAAGTATTTGGCCTTCTTCAGCCGGTCCATAAGCTCCCCGATGAGTGGTAACGGGTATCGATTCTTGATGGTCATCTCATTGAGCTTGCGATAATCCTGAACGGGTCAAAGTTTCCCATCCTTCTTTTTGACAAAGAAGAATGGGGACGCCATTGGAGACTTGGACGCTTGGATTCGCCCTGTGGATAAATTTTCGTCTAAAAATCTATCCAACTCCTCTTGTTCCATGGGGTTAAGAGGGTAGACTTTACAGTCTAAATTGGCGTTAGCATTGGGAATTAATTCGATGGCGTGGTCCCAAGGTTTTCGCAGGGGTAACTCGTCGAAGTTTTCTTTGGCAAAGACATCCTCGAAGTCCCTATATTCTTTCGGTACTATCTCCTCGAAGGACTTCGTTACTTTATGAGCATTGGCTTGGGCGGCTAATTCGTTGGCCTTAGTACCCATCGCTCGTACATGGAACACCTCTTCGAAGTCGATAACTAGAATTGTGTCCCCTTCTTCGTATTCTTCTCACTTGGATGAAGGGTCCGTGTCGGGGAGAGAGAAAGGGATCTTATGGCAAGTGCAGCAGGCCAACGTAACTGCCCCAGTGTCCCAGTCGATTAACGGGTTATGTCTCTGTAGCCAGTCATGCCCAAGGAAAAGGGGGGTGGTGCCTAGGTCGACCACGGCTAATTCGATCCGTTCCACATGGTCTCCAATGCGCAGCCGCACTTCGGCATACTCAGTAATGTCACCCCCTTTGTTTCAGGTTCCGTCGGCATTGTAGACCGGGATGGGTCGGGCTGCCTTTTTAAGGTTGAGAGCGTGACTCTGGGCCCAGGCGCGGTCTATAGAGCTGCCGGTGGCTCCGCTGTCCACTAGTGCCTTTAAGGAGTGCGTCTCGCGGGTGTCTAGTGTTTCCAACTGCAGGCTAATTGATACGTTACGCCCTTTCCTCCCTCATATATACATGGGTGGTTTCGTGAGATCCTCCATCCACTCCCACTTACTTCTAGCCTCTGCAGCGGT